TTTTTTTTTTTTTTTTTTTTTGTCTCTTTTTGGAGTCTCATCCTGTGAAGCAGACCAAAGGTGTCATTTAGGAGTTTGTAAATCTGAGGGGTAAGGTTGGTAAATTGAGTCAACCAGTAGAAGCTGGACAAATCTATACACAAGCAGGGTTGTTAAAAACAAGGGATGACAGTTCATTACAATCAGTTTTTATGGGGTTATCTGCTGGTGAATGGTGCCCTCAGACTTCTGCCATGCAGACTAGTCAGCTTCTGGTATGACTACAGAAGGACTCTTTTCTCTCATGATGTCCTAGGGGTCATGTTGTGTCCAGATAGTCTCTGCTGGAGTTGAGTTTTCAGGGGGTCTTGTAGGTCAGGATGCATGGTCCAGGTTACTGAGGAATCCTCAGGGTAAGCCTTTTTCAGTCTTGAGTGGAATACTGAAGAGATGATACTTGCAACCTTAATAGCTGTTGGGGTGACAAGCACAATATGTGAGGCCCTGTCCACACACGCTTAAGGGGTTTCTTTTTCCAGGCTTTGTTCCAGACAGAATCCCCTGACAGGAACGGGTGTGCAAGGCTGCCTGAAGAGAGTGGAATTCTCATGGGGACAACCTTATTGATGTAGGAGAACACTTTCCTAAGGGCGTGTATCTCAGCAGCCAGGTTTGATTCACCTAGCTGCCTGATATACCCCCTGAGGTTTCCCCATCGAGGTGGCAAAAACAGAAACTTTCAATCTTAAACATTTATTAGCCTCCCTTTGAGCTTTTTGATCCTGATTGACAAAGATCATGTTGGCCACTTCCAGGAGCTCAATATCATTCATTGCAGTGAAACCCTTAAGCTTTTGGAGTTTCCTGTGGAGTTTAGGCCATGAAGCCAATTGGGCCATGAAAGCAGTGTTCACCATGCACTGGTTTTTGGAGGCCTCGGGTTCAAGGGGGTAAGATACAGAATACTTCACAGAGCCACTTGTAAATGTCTCTAGGTGATTCCTCTGATTTCTGTGCTACTGAGGCAACTTTGACATGTCAGTGAGCTTCTTGGTCCCTTCCAGGACTCCCATGAGGATTGCTGCTCAGTAGTATAGGAGGGAGGCTGTTTCTGCATTGTAGTTCCATTCTGGCTTATTGTCAGGGGCCTCTTCCTTTGCGCAATCTTCAGGATCTAATACCTGGGCTGGGGCTTGACCTTGGACCTATTTCCTGCCTCTGTGACAATTCTTTACTTCTTCTTGGTATTGAAAAGCCTGAGGAGTAGCCATTGGCAATCATTCCAGGTAGGTTGGTGGGTCTGAAAAATGGACTTCAGTGAGGGCTTGGGTCTTCTCTGAATAAGTCAGAGGGTGATACTTCTAGTTCAGAAGGTCTGAGGTGCTGAAGGGTTGATAATAGAGGATCACTCTGCCAGGCTGCTCAATTCTGTCGTGACTCACCTGGGTAGGTCCCCAAACCTCACAGAGGGACATCTTTGGGCTGTCAGCTGTGCTAAATGTAGCCATCTGGCAAGGAGAGCGTCTGTGTGGTCTGGTTCTTCAGCAGCAGTGGTGGCAGAGCAGGATCAGGGAGGTCCAGCTGAGGTAGAAGGTCTGTTGGGGTGCACTGTCTGGGAGGGTTGCAATGGAGGCATGGATGGTAGTGTAAAAAATATGTCAGAGGCTGGAATTCTTCAGATGTGCCTTGGTGTATTTTCTTCTGGCCCTTCAAGGTTTGATTCAGGCCTTGGGTAATGAAGAACCTGCTCTGACCCTTTTTGCCTTCACAGAATCATACTCAGGTGGGAGGCACTGTGCAATCTCTAGCCATGAATCTATGTATGAGAACTGGTCAGAGTGGCTGGGGTTCCCTATACTGGGCTTCTCTGCAATCACTCTCCAAACAGTCTGGACTATATTAGGATCTAGAGTCTCTTCCAGTGTCCATTCAACCTCAAACCAAGGCCAGTCTACCTCAGAAAAGGCTTGGCGTTTGGCAGGTTTCATTTTTATTCCTCAGGTGTCACTTAAGCCCTCTTTGAAATTTTTGATCATACAGTCTAGGACTGTTGGTTTGGACTGCATGGTCCCCATATCCTAAAGTGTTCCTCCCATGCAGTGCCACATCAGACAAAGGAAGGGAGTCCCCAAAGAAACCACTCAGATGCCCACATGGCTGTGTCCCTCACAGGAACTTAGGTGTAACTTGGCTAAGGTGTACCCATAAAAACCTGGGCCTGGTCAGTACCTTATTATGGGGTATGAATCAACATTACACTATATGATGTCACCATGGAAACAGAGGTTAGGGCCCACTTGGACTCTGCAGTTTGCACTGTGGAGCCACAGATATTTTCACATTCACTCACACAATCATTCAGAAGTCAAAACATTCCTCCCCTCTTATGGGAGATCCCTGACTGGGGTCTCTAGTTTGAGACTGTGGGAGGTGACCGGACTCCCCTTCCATCCATGGATGGGTCTGACTTGGAATAGGCCCTGGGGCCTTACATTAAGCAGAAGATTCTATGGGGAACCAGTCCACCTCTGCACCAAGTCAGGTCAGGAGGGAGTCAGAACACATGTTAATGGTCCCCTACCAATGAAAGAGGTCTTGCCAAGAAGACAGGAGGCACACTTTCTCATTCTCCCTGGGGAGGGTATCTAGAAGCTGCTCTCCCAACCCTGAGCCAATGGCACAAGAGGCCAGCATGGTTGGCTTTCTGGCCAGGGAACCAGAATATTATAGAAGTTTTAGATTTACTGAAAGCAAAGAAAATGAGTGGCATTCAGAGAGCTGGTGGGAGCTAAACTTTATTATGCCTATGGGCTCAGAGGAACTGCATACTGCAAAGTCTGAGCCCCACACCTTCATTAGGGCTGTCTTATACAGAGGTTTTAGGCAGGAACATGCAGGCCAAGTTACAGAGTCAGAGTAGGATGTGGTTAAGCATAGGGGGTTTGAGGTGGGCTGTACAAGCAAGATTCCAGAAGTGGAATGAGTCAGTTGCTTTTTGCAAGCTATTCATTTTGGTCTTAAATTTTAGTTTACCAAAGTTTTGCTTTCCTGATTAAAAGTAGTTATAATTTATAGAAAAAATGGCCTTTTCACTTGAGAGTGTCCATACAAAGCCTATGACAAAGCATAAATAGTTTTGTCTAATGCATTAACTTGACTGTAAGTAAACATTGCCCAGCCAGTCTGTACTTTTTCCTAGTTTCCTAAAAGAGCTGGTTCCCTGGTTACATGGATAAGAACTTCCTCAACTTTGGAATGACCAGCCAGGAAGCACTTTTGAAGGGAGCAGTTTCTACCCTTGTGGTTTGTGTATCTTTCTAGGTCTTCTGAATTTTGTCATTTTAAATTCTCCTACTAGTAAAGTTCCTTTTATGGTCTTCCAAATAGATTCACTTAGGGGAACCCTTGTTACCTAGGAAAGTTTATTCTTGGTGACATGAAAATTGGATTAGAAAATAATTCATTGGGGTAAATATAAATATTCATATTCAACAGCCTCACAGAACTTTTTGAGTATTTTTAAATAGCATTCTGTTTTAGCATCTGTAGATTCTATTTACAGGTTTTTTTTTTTTTTTTTTTTTTTTTGGTCTTTTTTGAGACAAATTCTCTCTGTGGAGTTCAGACTGGACTTGACCTCACTTTCTAGCCCAGGCATCTCAAACTTGCAAGGATCCTTTTGCCTCAGCCTCCTGAGTGCTGGGATTACAGGTGTGCGCCACCATGCATGGCTATTTACAGGTGTTGATTACATCTTTTGAATGTTTTATTTTCTACAGCAAAAAATTATTTGCATTTTTTGACCAATGTAAAGGTAATTGTTAAAAATGCAGTTGGATAAATATATAAATAAATCACAAGATTTACTTATAATTAAGTTAAATAGTGTTTTGCCAATAGACATTGCTAAGTATAGACATCTGCTAAGTATAAATTTGTCTATTCTTTGCTTCTTAAAATTTATAAATGATAAAATATCTAAGTCTATTAATTGTATTTCATAGATTATTGACATATATATCTATATAACACTGGTATAAGACTAAATATCTGCAAATGGAGTCTTGGCTGGAGATATATCTCATTGGCACAAGCACCTGCCTGGCAAGCGTAAGGTCCTGAGTTTGATTCCCAGTATTCCCCCACTTCAAAAAAAAGTCAAAATGAAGTCTTGTCAAACTATAGGTCAAATTTAAAATAAGCTTTAAATAATAAGTCTCAAAATGAGGGTTGTATGTGTTCAGAATTTTAAGAAATCCTAAAGTACTAGTATAATTTGTATAATCACAAGTCCTTTAATATTCTAATAACAACAGGTAATAAAAAAATGCCTTTACTGTACAAGGTTAATAGCTATGAATTACCTGATTGGTTAATGGGTTTTTAGAGATGCTTAAAGGCTTGCTTTGTTCTCTCTAATAGATAAACTGTTCTTTTTTTGCTGTATAGTCTTTGTTTAAATTAAGTACTTATAGTGAGTTTATTTTTTTCCATTTTATTTTTACAAAAAAGTCTTATAAGTTTCAAAAACAAAGATTTTGAACTTATCCCACATCAAGTATGTTATGTGATTTTTTTCTTGATGTACAGTACTTACATCTATATCTGATATGATTTGAAACACAAATATAAGGTATAACTGTTACAGGCGAGTTCATACAATCGGTTTGTTTGCTTGCTACTGACCAGATCAAAGGAGGTCATATGTTTGACAAAATGGAAAAAATAGTTGATTCAAAGCTAGCTCTGGGGAGAGGGAGAGACCCATTTCTTCAAATCACCATCTCTCCTTATATAGTTGGAATGGGGTACTTCACAGTGAGGAATGCAAGAAAGGGGAGCACAGGAAGAGTGCAGATCTTCACACTTGGGTTCTTGCCTCCAGCCATCTTCAGCTCACGGACCCTTCCCTGTGGAAGGGAAACCGAGCCCTGGGCCTTGTGGTCTCAGCATCTGCACATTTTGTCACTTCATTTAGGCTGAAGAGAAGAGGGAGTATTGGTTATACGCTCAGCTGGAGGAAGTTTAAGGAAGATATTTATTTCTGAAAGAAAAAAATCTAACTTTTAAAGTTCTATTTTGCAGTGCAGTTACATGGGGATTGAACCCAAGCTCCTTGCATGGAGCTACATCCCCTAGTCCTTTAAAAAATGTGTTATTTTGAGACAGGATCCCCCTAAGGTATCAAATTGCCCAGATTAGGCTTGAAGTTGATCTCCTCCTGCCAACTTGATATCCATCTTGATATCCTCAACTTTCCAAAATGCTGGGATTGCACACCTGTACCACCACACCTGGAGGAATACATCTTACTTTTAGCCAGTCTCCAAAATGGTCAAGTTGTTGCTATACCATGCTGTCCAACAAACTGCAACTAAAACTTGCAGTTGCTTATGCCTCACAATCTCCTGCAACCACATGAAATTTGTTCACACTGCCCAGTCCAAACTTCCCACAGCAGCACCCTCATGTTTTTACTGGTTCCTGACATTTACAAAAAGCATTGTATGCTATCTTATTTCTTAGCTTGATGTAGCAATAAGGACATGGAGAACTTGCTGTGTAACTGATAACCAGTACATTTATGTATAACTACTAGTAGTCCAAAAGACAATAAAGTGTCTTTATGGAAAATAGAAATAGTGATTTGAAATTATAAGATAGATTTCAGAAATGTTGCTTCTAAACATAGGGAAAATTTTTTGAAATATACATACTTCAGATATTTCTAACACTTGTGGTAATAATCCTTCACTATCCTCTTTGTTCCTGAATAGAAAACTCCTGACTAGGCAAAAGAACACCCTTTATGATTTAGCTGGACATGCTATACTTGATCTTAACCAACAGGCCAAGAAGCAGTTGGACATGCTATATTGTATGTGAGTATAAGTACTTTTTTTAAATTGGAAAGTTTCCTCTGTGTTGTGTGTATAGTTGAGGGGAAAAAATCAGATCACAAAACACTATGCATAGCATGATTATATTTTTGGAAGAATAAACATACGAAAAATTCTGGGAAAATGTATGCCAACTGTGAATAGAAATTATCTACTAGTAATGATAATTTCCTTCTTTACATATGTTTGTATCTTCTGAATTGTTTTCAATGAGGAAATGATAGAGGAAAATGAAATTAATTCTTTTTTTCAAAATAAATATTCACACTTCTTTAGGGAATTATTTTGTGAAGATAGTATTTTTTTTTAATTTTTTTTTTATTTTAAGGATAAAAGGAGGGAAACATTAACAGACATACAGCATTTTACAACATATCACAAGCACAATACAGAC